GCTGAATGAAGACCAGCAGCAATCTCTCCCTCCTTGGTTCTCGGGAAGCCCCAGTCTGACCAATGGGCTCTAGCACTTCTCTGTTGGTTCCTCATCTTTGCTTCCCAGAAAATAGGTTATTTGCCTGAGGCCAGGGCTTGCTGTCTGTTCTCTCATTCTGACACCACATACCTCAGCCAGTCCAACCTCTCATCCAGCTTTCCAGCCTCAGGGTGAGGAATATCTTCCCAAGGCGTAAAGATCCAACCTCTCCTTTGCAATTCTAGGTTAGCCCTCAGAAAGGAATTTCCTTCCTTGTAGTCCTACCTTCTCTCTCTAATATTTTCAGTTTTTTATATTATCTTTTCAAATGGCTATTTTAAAATATTTTCTCCTGATTTCTGCTGCTTCCTATCTCTGTTTTTTAGGCAGAAGAACTGGTTACATGACCAGTCTGAGGTTGACCACATTCTTGTTCTCACTACAGCCAGTCTTTCCTGAACCTTTTTGTGATCTGGCTTTTCTCCCTACTATGCTACTGACATGTTTTCCAAATGCACTTGACCTGCTGGCTGCCAAATCCTAGGGCCTCTCCTGCATGTTTTCTCTTAACAATGTGAGGGTTTTTATTTTGAAGGCATGGATAAGTAATTTATGGAAACACTACAAGATATTGGCAAGCAAAAATTAATTTAAAGATCACTGGAAATCCCACCACCCACTATTAATCTCTTGCTGGATCTTCTTCACTGCTCCCTATACAAATGCATGCAGTTGACCCTTGAACCACACAGGTTTAAACTGCACAGGTCCACTTTGACCCAGATTTAAAGTGCAGGCCACTTACGCATAGGCCTGTACAGATCAAATCTGTGTTGTGTGAGGGTCTACTGTATTTTTTTAAACAGTTTTAAAATATTTTTTTAAATTTATTTCAGAGAGCAAGGGAGAGGGATAGAGTGATAGAAACATCAATGATGAGAATCATTAATCGGCTGCCTCCTGCAGGCCCCACCACCGGGGCATGTGTAGACTGGGAATCTAACTGTGACCTCCTGGTTCATAGGTCCATGCTTAACCACTGAGTAACACCATCCAGGATCTACTGCATTTTTAATTGGGAATCTAAATATGTGGAGGACCAACAAGTTACATGAGGATTTTTGACTGCATGGTGGGTGGTCTCTCTAACCCCTGTGTTGTTCAAAGGTCAACTGTACATGTAAATTATCTTTTTAAACAAAAATGGGATCTTACTATGATTTTACTTAAAAATATGGCATGACCATCTTTCCATGTCAGTAAAGTATATTCCTACATCATCACTGTCACCATTAATCTCTTCTTCCTGTTCGAAACTTCCTGTGCCCATGGCTTCTGGAACAGGGCATGCCTCCTGTGTCAGTGACAACTTTTTCATTCTCTCTGCCTATAATGGTGGCTCCTACCCAGGTTTACTCCTCTATCTTTACTTTTGTCGTTTCAACTTTTTTTCCAATTTGGAACCAAATTGCCAGTGAGATATTTCCACTTTACTGTCCTACTCTCACTGCAAGAAAAGTCCAAATTTATGTTCTTTATTCAAAGCAGCATCCCCTTCCAATTCACATGTTTGTTGCTGATACCATTTTTCTTCAAGGGAACTATTGCCGGAGCCACCTTTGTCCTACACTCTTTTGTTCACATCTAATTAGTTCCCAGAGCCTGTTCATTTTTTTAAAAAATATCTCATATATCTCAATATCTCCTTTCTATTCTCAGTGTACCAGCCCCAGGCCCTTGTCTTAAATGCTCCTGTCACTCAACAGCCTCCCAGTGGGCCTCTCACTCTCAGTCTCCTGTGCACTCTGGCCAGGTGACCTGTTCTTAATCACCTGTGTGGTTGCTCTGGAACCCGAAATGCCTCTTTCCCATATCCATAGCTCTCCAAGCTCACACCCACTTATATACCACCTCATATCCAACTGTTTACAAAATACCCTCCCTCCTTCAGTCAGGCCAGCCTTTTCACTGTCCGTTATGTGTAAGCTTTGTCCTTATCCCTATTACACAGGCACCTCTCCCTAGTCCCACCTGAATCCTTTCTAACCCACTAGGCCCTGCTCACATCTCACCTTTTCTTGTTACTCCAGCCCACCCAGGTCTCCCTGCTTCACTAAATTCCTCTTACACTTACAGCATGCACTGCACAGAACAAACTTCATTTGTGTCAACCCTGGATAAGACATGCAAAATATGATGGGCATTACACACTGGTTGGCTTAACCTCCTAGGGCATAGAAAGTGGATTCTATGGAAATTAGAGAAGTGGAGAGATCCAGAGAGGTCAGGGAATTGAAAGAAGGGGGTCAGGATTAGAACTGCTGGGAAACAGTCTCACCTGTGTGGGTTCCCCTCGGTCCATTTTGTCCCCTGTTCCCAGCTGCCCATATCTGTTATTTCCCTGCATAAAGATTCGGCCAAATTCATCCACCAAGCCAAGGTGATTGTAGCCAAGAGCACAGAATAGGATCTAGGGGGTAAGACAGAAAGGGGAGGTGGGCATTCAGTTCCCTCCAGAGGAACTCTGAACTCCAAAACCTCCCAGCCACTAACCTGGCTCTCTTTTGGTCGTGCCCTCTATGTCACCCATCTCTCTGGGTCCCCTGTCCCTCCCTGATCAATCATTTGATTCATGCTCATACTTCAGACCTTCAGAACCTTTCAACCCCTCAAGTCCCTCCTGTAATGATCTGCCCCATCCCTCCAGGATCCTACCTTGGCAGGTAGTGAGAGAGCAAGTGGCATCTGCTGGTCCAGGGGGTCAAAGGCTTGAAGGGTCCCAAAGAGATCACGATACACCCCTGGGGTATGCACCTCAAAATACACTCCCCCCTCATCTGGGGGGTCGGGTGCCCTCAGCTCAGCAGCTTTGGGCACCCATTTCCTAGGGATAAGGCCCCACCTGGGTGAAAACTACAAATCTGGGGAGTCTCACACCCACTAGAATTCACCAGCTATGATGTCTGGAAATCTAAACATCATCTTTTTACTAGGATGCCCTAGGGGTCCACCACAGGAGCTGGGATAATGATTGCGGGTATCTGGAAGATCTGTCCAAGGCTAGGTCCTAGAGCAAAAGGGAGGTGGTTCTTTACCCGTAATGTATAGAGTACTGCTC